ACGGCAGGACTGATGTAGAGAGCTACAAATCCTGCATCCCGTTGTGTGTGCACAGTGATCTTGAGCCATACATCCATAGGATTGCTGATGGTGATAGCTCCCCACTCCTCACTGGGAAGCCCGTCACCTCCCTTTCCCTCAGGTAATTACAGTGCTTGAAAAATGTGTCATCTTATTGTTTATATTGGTTTATGGATGTCGGTGTTTGTAACTTGATGTTCTTTCTTTGGATCCAGTTCCGGCACAACACAGGGAAAGCCCAAGTTCTTGCCATTTACTGATGAATTGCTTGAGACCACACTTCAAATATTCCAGACTTCATATGCATTTAGGAACTGGTAAGAATCTTCATTATGTTTCATTTTTCACAACTAATGCTCCTACTTCTGAATGAGCAGGGTTTTATCTGATCATGTGCAAGATAAAATTTTCTTTCTAAGGCTCTAATTAATGTCATGCGCATGTGATTAAACCATTGATTGGTTTTAGATTTCTTACATCCTAGATTTTGTAACAGTTTTCTTTTGACAGTGAGTATCCAATAGGAAGAGGAAAAGCCTTGCAGTTTATCTATGGTAGCAAGCAAGTGGTAACAAAAGGTGGCATCCTTGCTACAACTGCAACAACAAACTTGTACCGGAGGGCACGTTACAAGGAAGGGATGAAGGATATTCAGTCTCAGTGCTGCAGTCCAGATGAAGTTGTTTTTGGCCCTGACTTCAATCAGTCCTTATATTGTCACTTGCTCTGTGGGCTAATATACTCTGACGAGGTCCATCAGGTGTTCTCACCATTCGCTCACAGCTTAGTCCATGCATTTCAAACATTTGAGGAGGTTTGGGAAGATCTATGTGCTGACATAAGAGGTGGTGTCCTCTCAGAGAAAGTTACAGTGCCATCTATTCGTGAAGCTGTTACAAAAATCCTGAAGCCCAACCCTGAGCTTGCTGACTTGATCTATAAGAAGTGCACGGGCTTGAGCAACTGGTATGATGTAATCCCAGCGCTCTGGCCAAATGCAAAGTATGTCTATGGTATTATGACAGGTTCCATGGAGCCATACCTAAAAAAATTGAGGCACTATGCTGGGCACTTGCCTCTGATAAGCGCAGATTACGGTGCATCTGAAGGATGGGTTGGTGCTAATATAAACCCCACACTACCACCTGAACAGGTGACATACGCTGTTCTCCCCCAGACTGGTTATTTTGAGTTCATTCGTTTGGAGAAACCAGAAGGGGAGGAGGCGGAGAATAGTGCCTCCATTCATTACATAGAATCAGAACCAGTTGGCCTGACTGAAGTTGAGGTCGGCAAAATCTATGAAGTTGTGATAACTACCTTTGGAGGTACATTCCTTCTCTATTACTGTACCATTCTGAATTGAGATTACCTATAGCAAAGTACAGCATTCATGGTAATTATATCCTCTATTTCTGCCTCAGTCACCTGATTCAGATAATGTTACCTTTTATCATTTCAAAAGTATAATTATTATGCCTGATGGTTTACGCTATTTATATTTTTTCAATGAAAAGCATTTTTAACAGAACCAAAAAAGCACACAGTTGGGGTGCATACATCAAAGTTATGCCTTAAGCACATGGAGTAATTATTGCTTGTATTTGTGGTCCACTCCCTGAAGCCTATCCATTAATGTTTGGTTCATATTGTATTAGGTAGCCATAGCTGCACAATGTTTTGATGTTAGTAGAGTCACCAAACGCATGTTTATCCTTTTATTATCTCAGATGGTTAGTTCTAATGCACATGTCACAAGCAATTTTAGATACATCTACATTTGGATATTGTAAACCTTAGACACAAATGATTTGAATACAAAAAGTTTGCCATTTAAGTTGCTGGAAAAATGTACATATCTTTGAATACTTTTACAATCCCGTTTTAATTGTGTTGCTGTAGGTCTATATCGTTACCGGCTAGGAGATATTGTGAAGGTAGCGGGCTTCCACAACTCAACACCAGAGCTCCGGTTCATCTGCCGCAGAAGCCTAGTTCTGAGCATCAACATCGACAAGAACACCGAGAAAGACCTCCAGCTTGCTGTTGAGGAGGCAGCAAAGCTCTTGGATGCAGAGAAGCTGGAAATTGTGGATTTCACTAGCTTTGTGGAGAAGTCAAGTGACCCCGGTCGCTATGTCATCTTCTGGGAGCTGAGCTCCGATGCAAGGGAGGATGTCTTACGAAGCTGTGCAAATTGCTTGGACCTAGCCTTTGTTGATGCAGGATATACGGGTTCAAGGAAGATCAGAGCCATTGGCCCACTTGAGCTACGGATTCTGAAAAAGGGAACCTTCAAGGAGATCCTAGATCACTTCCTGAGCCTTGGTGGCGCCGTGAGTCAGTTCAAGGCACCTCGATTTGTCAGCCCATTGAACGTCAAGGTTCTGCAGATATTAAGTAGGAACACCACCAGAAGTTACTTCAGTACTGCCTATGGGCTCTGATAAATAAGAAATGCTGCTAGTAGTTCCATGTAATTATCTTTTTTCACTGTTCTGTTCTAGTCTCCAGATAAAGAAAACAATCTGTCTTAGTCTCTTGCTGTAATACTCGTATTCTAGTGCTGCTGCTTGCTAGAATATCTGTAAATCCATATGCAGTTGTAGCAAGAGGAATCAGAAAAGTGAAGCTGCTGCTGCCTGCTTGTGTTCTGATTTCTGTGCACAGCAAGCAAATGCATTCAGTCTCCACTCCAGACTCCAGAGCACACAACAGCCAAAACATTTCTGCCCAGCTGGCTATAATGTCTTGGAGTCTTTACTTGAACAAGCAGTTCTGCAGATTCCATGCATCAATCGTAACATGGGTAGGTAAGCGCTGCTTTATTTCATCGCTGCACTGTTCCTTTACTCTTTAACACTTTGTGGGCTACTTGGATCTAGCTGGGAATCATTCTGTGAAGGTTGCAATCATCCAACAATTGTTGTTGGTACCCATAACAGAGTCAGCGACACCAAGGTAAAGCACTGATTACAGGGAAAAGATTGAAAAGAGCAGTGGTCCATGAGACATGTGACAGTAGAAGGCATCATGCATCTATCTTGTTTGATTAGCTGACAGTTGCAGCACACTGACACTGCAATCATGCACATATATTGTCCCTGAGTATAATACTACTAGTGCTAATCTCTTACTTGTCCTTCAATCAATCAGTTTTACATACATAGAAACGGACAAAACATACATAAAATTTAATATGTATAATCAAGCACATATAGAACGTGGGGGGGGGGGGAAATAGCACTTAGAAATTTAAACACACAAGTCGCTGCCAACGTAAACCGGATACTTGCCCCCTGTCTTGGCAGTTGGCACAGAGGCTGCAAGAGAAGATCACAGGGTGTAGTTGACGTCGATGAAGCTGAGGATCTGGTGCACGGCGCCGGCGATGTCCTCTGCCGAGTATCTTGCCTCGCCGACGATCTATCACATCGCAGCAACTTATTCAATTTCAATCCTGATGAAGCTGAAGACATATAACCAAATATATATCTTTATTACCTTTACGTTGAAGGAGTAGAGGACGGTCTGCTCGATGGTGGTGATGTTGGTGTGCAGGATGGACATCTGCATGTCCTCCAGCGCGGCGATGGTCTTGATCAGCTGGCCTGGCCGGCGGCGGGACAGGATCTTGATCATGGCGTCGGCGCCCAGCGCGCGCACCTCGATGTCCGCCAGGCACGACTTGTTCTCGGCCACCTCCTCCCGGAGCCCGCCGGCGTCGACGACGGCGCCTCCTGCCGCTTCCAGGTCCAGTATTATCTTGGCGTCGCCGCCGCCAGACGCCACTGGGAAAGGGTGGCTGGGAGGGAAGAACGGCGGCGGCGGCGGCTGCGCCTGTGGCTGAGTAGTGGACGTTATTGGCGCGCCGCCGGGCCCTGCTGCGTCCACCACCGGCGGTGGCCGTGGCGCGTCGCCGGACCCGCCGTACAGGCGCCGCCGCTTCTGCGACTCCAGGCACTGGATCAGCTGCTCTAGCTCTCTGATGAACTCGATGGCGCCTCCTATGATCGATGCTTGGTCTCCCTGCACCCAGCATATGTACGTGTCACGTCAGTCAGTTACAGCGTGTCTGTAAGTTTCCCCTCAAGTGACCAGTGTACTCCCTACTGAACTTTTGTTGTCTCTGACAGTGAAAATCAGCAAATTATTAGCAGAAAAATATCTACTTTGCTCCATCCCGTAGATCTCTTAACGTGCCATGTCCGGTAGCAGAGTTCAGGTTCAGTGCGCGAGGTATATATGTAGGTTGAATAATTGATTTAGATTCAATTTCAGTTCGAGATTAGGGTTTGAGTATGGCATATAAATAGAGACATTTTAGCGACACGAATTTCAGACTTTGCTCATTATAATATGTTTGTAAAACCTATTAAATTTGACCGTATTGTATTTGGATAATTCTATACTTATATGTTGGCATCATGTTATGTTTGTAGCATTATTTTCTTTTATGTTAAGTTGGACCACCCTAGACCCTAGTCTAAAATCATGGCTATATAAGCCACTGCACCAATTCATACAGTTTTGGAGGGAACGGAGAGGGAATTAGTTCATTTTCTAACTTTTTTTAAAAGAATCTGTCTACCGAACACTCAAGTGTTTTGAGCTCTTGAACTCTTCCCACACCCAATTTCTTTCTACTGCAGCCCGACGCGTCACCCACCGTCCACCGCACCCTGCGTCGACCTTCTTCTTCCCCTCCCCTTGTCACCATCGTGGCCATGGTCGCCCCCGCCTTGCTGCCGCCTCTCCTGACCCCACCGTCGGGCATGCCTACCTCCCTAGACCCCCTTTGTAAGCCCGTTGAAGATGGAGAAGAGATGAAGAGGAAAAGAGAGAAAAATCGATTGTTGGAACACTCGAGTGAGGTGTAGCTTTTCTGTTATGAAAAGCCACATGTTGGCTAGAGAATCGACGGACATATATTAATAGAGAAGAAGAGTTCATTTTCTAACTAATCCACATTTATTGAAACTTTGAGAAGGAATAGGTTTCATAATTGTTTGGGTGACATTTTTCTACTATTTCTCGTGGTTGCTGGTAACCTTTTTTTTATGAATGTTACTAGTAACCTATCATATTCGGTTGGTCAATTGAAAAACCTGTATGTGAGACCCTCAACTAATAGGACATGGCACACATTTGGGTTAAATGCCATAATTGTATGGAGAGTCAATGTGCAATGGTGACCAAGTTTTTTTGGGCTAGGATGACCAAGTAATTTACATGTACAAACTTTGTGCCTTTTGTGTTTTATATGGCTATGCAACCTTGTGGTTAATTACTCCCTTTATAGATATCCTTTAACCAAGGTCCAGTCTTTAAAAAAAAAAAATAACAGTAACTTTTTTGAAATATATGAAAAAAAATCATGTGTAGATTTGCCTTGACCATAATCTCGTATATTTATTGCACAAGTTGCATCTTAAAGACCATGACTAGCCAACATCGTCGATTAAGTTAGCAACAACCTGATTTTTTAGTTGCTCATTATATTACTACTTCACAATATTTTTATCGTGGGTAGGTCCTTACAAAAAAAAATCATAAAGAAAAACAAGGTGCATATGTTTGTGACTGACAAACCTAAAAATGTCTCAAATCTCAAGACTCTAACCAAGTTTGTGCTCTCCCTCTCTAACTTTCACCAAGTTAACATAATAGAAAGATCCATGAACATATACACCAATAATAGGTTAGTTTTACTGAATCCATCATGGTATCTTAATACTATATTTATTTGGTATAATAGTGTTAACATATTTTCTTTTATGGATTTAGTCAAAATTAGAGAAGTTTGACTTAAAACAAAACAAAATTGGCTTACATTTTGAAATGAAGGGTCCACCTACCTACCTAAACCTGCCACAGCCATGCATCACCACCCTATCCAAGTCAAGTTCTCAAATTTTATAGGAAACATTGAAATAACATGGCCTAGTAATGCAAAATTAAGACTGAGCTCACATTTGTCGTAGTTTCCCGGCCCTAAATGAAGGTGACATAGATAATGTCAACCTCCACCTATGTGGCCTATATATATAGTGCCCCTTGTTGCACTACTCACATGAAGGTGCTAAATTGTAAGCACTTGACCTTTTCTTTTAGATTTTTCATGCGATGTATGAGAGCTATCTAATCTAGATCCCAACATTGTTGTTCACCCACTTGCTTCACCATGGTCTACTTGTATTCGACCTTGCCTCCTACCTTCTCTTTGTCCATCACGAGCGGCGTCCCTAATATAGGAACACATCACCAAACCCTAATCACTATAGTTTGCTGCCTCCAACCATGTCCCCCGCACCTGCAAGCGGTAGCACCCAACCTTTATCATCCACTGGTCTAGCCGCCTCCGACCACTGCATCCTTTTCTAAACCCGGCAGCGTACATCCCTCCCTAGTAAACCAAAACCCTAACATCGTTGTGGTGGTGACCGACAACCGATACGATCAAACATGCATGGTTCACACTTTGTTCACATTCGAATGCTTAATGTTGCCAATTTCAGGTATATGGAGTATAGGAGAGGCATGGCACTTAGGTTATTGCTGCTCCCCTAGTTCCTTAAGGCCTCTCTTTAGAATGAACGAATTTCGCCCGAAAGAGTTCAATTCAGAGAAACATAGATTCAGGAAAAGGTTATTCCAAAAGGCGGTCTCAAATTTGTTGAAACCATCGCGTTGTTGGAGGATCTTTTAAGATCAGGATGAAATGTGTGTGCAAGTCCTATGTTTCTAAAAAAAATGTGTGTGTGCAAGTACAGCAAAGAAGAGAGTGTAAAAAATCATCTGCAGGGTGTGTGTGGACGTACCCTCTGGACGTAGGATCCTGGCATGAGCGACCTGAGGATCCTGAGGTACTCGTTCATCTGGCGCCGGCGGTTGCGCTCGACGGCGATGTGCGTCATCCGCTGGCTCTCCACCTCCTCGCTGGTCTTCACCGTCCGCGGGCGCTTCCGGCGGCCGCTCATCTTCCCCTGGTCCCCGGACTTGTCCGCGCGGCCACCGCCATCACCCTGCTGCACCAGCGTGGTGCTCTCGGAGACGCCGCCGCCTCCTCCACCACCGTCCTGATCGGCCGTCGTCTTGCTGCCCGCCGCCTCATGATGGTCCGCTTGGCGCTGGGGGAGGGACGCCGGCAGCGACTGGAACCTGAAGAAGTAGCCATCGTCGTCGTCGACGTCGTCCGCGTCCTCGCCGCCACCTCCGTCGACGACGCCGCCTGGGCCCGGTTCCCGGCTGGCGGACGCTGCGACAGGCTGGTTGAGCGCGAGCTTGGGGCCGAAGTCGGCGAACTGCAGCACGTCGGAGAAGCTGAGCTTGTCCAACGACACCGCCTGGCTCTGCGTCGGCGGCTGCGGCGGTGCTGATGGTGGAGGCGGTGCATGCACGTGGTGGCCAAGCATGTAGTCGACCATCTCGGTCCCGCCGGCGTGCTGCTGGTCTTCCGGCGCCGCGCCGTCCAGCGGCGCGAAACTGTCGAGGTGACCGTGGTGACTCCCCTGCTGCTGCTAACGGAACGGAAGCGCGCGCCATTTGCAAAGGATCAATACGTATCAGAGTTCAGAGATCATATCAACCTTTGAGTAGATAGAGAACTAAGAAGTTCAAATTTCAGATGTGTGAAAACATGCATGCATTGATGCAAGTGAACCGCGCACATGCATGCTGCGATGCATACCTCTTTGTCCATGATCAGGTCGAGGAGCAGCGTAGGTGCTTTGATGAACTCACGATGGACACATGCAGGTAGCTAGGCAGGCAGGCTCACAGGTGGTGCGTGTGCATGGCCGAGGCAGGCAGCAGCAGCTAAATAAACAAGAAGAAGCAAGGCTCTCGATGCAAGAACTCAGCAGCGATCAGTCACTGATCGCCATGCATCATATGCATGTTCTGCACTTGTATAGCTAGGATAGTTTGCAGGAACACGAGAGAAGTAGCGAACAAGGAGGGCGGGCCGGCCGGGGGGACTTGAGGAAGACGAAGGTAGCTAATTAAGGAGAGATAAACTAGCTAGCTTCTCGTGTTTTGAGCATGGCGGACAGGAGGGAGAGAGGAGGTTCAGCTCTTGATGGTGGAGGCGTGCGTGCGTAGGACGGGCGGATGAGCGAGGCTGATGAATTCGGCCACCGCGGCGGTGGCCGCCTCCAACCAAGGGGTTTAGCGTAATAGCTGCGCTCCGCCCCGCTCCCCGGCCGGCCGGTGAGTTATGTTGTTCACATGCGCGGCGCTCCCCGCCTCTCCTTTTTTCGTCTCCATTGGCGCGGCGGTCTTAGTCATCTTAGCTTCCTCTCAGCGCCTCTCTCCGCCGCCGCCGCCGACGCGTCATGGATGAAGGATGATCACGGGCGCTTCTTCTTTTTCTTGCTTTCTTCTTTCTCGGCATGAGATGCATGGGTGCAGATTTATAAAGGTCGCCGCGCCGACGCCGACGCCGCCCGTGATAATTCCCTCCCTCTCCTTCTCTGGCTCTCTCTTTGGCCTTTGGGATGATCAGGAATTCAGGATCAGCTCAGCTAACGACAACGAATTGGGCAGGGGCAGAGGAGAGAGATGGACGGACGGTGGGCGAGACATGACGTCATGCGAGTTACCAGGTGGGCTGCCACAAGAAGCCCTCAAGCAAGGCCCAGTCCTACGCTGGCCCAGGGACTGATGGACGGATATAACGGGCTTCTCTGTAGACGTGGGCCTCGCACTCGCATTTCCTTTCCCCGGAGTTATGGGCTCTAACGGTTGCAATCGGGCCCGTGTTGGATGGAATCCGCGCAGTGCCTTTAACTCCCTCTTGCTGTCTTGCAGTCTCGCGCCAGGCAAAGCCCTGCTCACGGCCTCATTGGTGCATCCCTTTTACTCCGACAAAGGGAAAAAGGGCAATTCCTTTCCTTAAAAAAAAAAAAACAAGAACGCCTCGCGCGTTACAGCGGGAATGGCAGGTGAAATTATACTCTTTATATTTACTAATATGAATAAATGAATATCATAATACTACAGGTTAGTAGATGGTTTTTAGCATCCTGATGTGGACAACTAAATATATACATTTGTAAATGATGTGGTTTGCTAATGTGAATAGCTTGAATAAAGACATAACGACATGTGTTAGTTGGATGCTGATGTGGACACTTTGTATGGCGAGATACTTGCATGTGCTAGTGGGTTGTTCTAATGGATACTAATGTAGGCATTTTGCATGACAAGATAAATCACTAATGGGGTTTAAAAATATAAGAGATATATAGATTAACCGACGACAACTCGTGTCCAAAGGTGCTTCTCTCAGTCTCTGCAAAACTCTTCTAAAAAAAGGTCTCAACAGTAAATTAGAATAAATTGCTCTGAGAAACAAAAAAAAGAAGATATTATTACAAAGCTCTCCCGAGTTGGAGAGCAGCAAGCCACCTCTATCTCAGCAAAATATATAGCTCAACCTAAAGGTAGGTTCAAACATGTAATCTTTTCAAATAACATATTTTTGTATGTTGAACAAAATTGAAATGATGCACATCTATATATATGCACACTGTTGCAAAAGTTGAGATTCAAACTCACTTAGAAAAAACAATGCAAAAATAACAAAATTGGAATGCATGTGCACTAGAAGACGAAATTACTAGGAATTTGTGTTGTAGTGCACATGTACTTGCATATTATTTTTGGGTGAATTTTAATAGATTGAGTTTGAATCTCAACTTTGGAACAAATTACACATATAGATATACGATGAACATGTATCGTCTAAAACTTTTTCAAACAATAAAAGTATCTTTTTCAAAAAAGCTTATATGCTTACACGTATCTTTAGGTTTACACTACATTTTTATCTATCCATCTCGACCCACTTATTATTCTCTCTCTAATAAAACCATCGATTGAGCCGGCCCGCGGCTAAGGACAAGGTAGTTGGTGTTAGAAGTAGAGAGCGAGACAAAAACGAGAGATGCAAATGATTCTGTGTTGTATTCTAAAGAATAGTGTGTGCATATATATATAGAGAGCCCATGTGGACGGTTACAAGTGTGAAAGAAAGAGAGAGGGGTGAAAAAACACCCTTTGGATTAATCCCTAATTAAGCACTAAATAATAATTCTCAACACCCCCTTGATCAATTAGCTCCTTGTAGTCTTTACTGTTTATCTATTATGTATCTTTATGAATCTTTGAAAAAACCATGTGGGAAAACCAAAGTAATACCGGTATACCAAGCAAAACTCCTTAAAACCCAGTGGGAAAAATAAGGAGAAACACTATGATATACAATCACCAATGTTATTAGACTCTTTGAGATAAACCCAAAACCTTAGTCTAAAAACACCTTGAACATAGGGTCAATATGCTTCAAATATCATCTTCCAAAAACCCCGGTGGAGGAAAATAGATGATATAGCATATACCTTTGTGTTGAACATTGCCTCATCAAAAACTTTATATGAGAAGCCATAAATGAAAAACTCACATAAAGAAAAGAGTACAATGCATCTTATGTGCCAATATCATCCACCAAAAACCCCTGTGGAAAAAATGAATGATATGACATAATCTTGTGTTGATATTGTCTCATTAAAAACTTTATATGAGAAACTCCAAGGAAAAATTTATACAAAGAAAAGAGTGCAATATGATGTTTATAACAAGTTATTAATCAGAGAGACTCTCCCCATGATACTAGCAAACCTCGAAGTAAATTCGTACCAATGCACTCAACACATAAAAAATGTAGAGTATGGTAGATTCTATGAATATCTCTGCAAGATTATCTAATACTTAGTTTGCAAATGTTCTAATGCCCATATTACCTATGGAATAGAACCATCTAAGTGCAAAATATTGCATTTAATATAACTTGTCTCCATCTACACAACACAAGTTGCATTACCTTTATAGATAATGACTATTGATTCATAGAATCAACACCGCATAACTTCAATATGTGATATATCATTCTATCAAGCTATACACATTCATGTGAAGCCTTGTACAATGCAATGTCAGAATGATTAATGGAATTAACCAATAAATGTCTATTTAAAGACTATCACAAAATGGTCTTTCAATATCCATGTAAAGCCTATTTCAATGATCTAAAATTTGGGGATCTTATAGATAACCAGAATTATTATATCCATATAATCGGATTATGGATTACACCGGGACCACATGTGCTATTTAAGATATCAAAAGATATTATTAACTTCAATCCACCAACATTTGGTAGGAGTAGCGCTACTACTAGATAGCAAATCATTGCAAAAATAATATCCGGACGGGAACTCTTGCAAGATTTATTAGCACATAAATAGCACAGAGATAATGGACCACATATCATAATATCTCATCTTAGTCACTATGACATGAAACAATCTTCCTCTATCATAAGGTAGAATAACCATAAGACACCTTCATATTGAATCACTCAATATGATATGGATATAGATAGCTTTTTGTACAAAATTCTGAGAGAAAATGCTTGGATTATAAACATAAAATGAAATTTTAGTTTAGTCCGTATCTTCCATCTCAAACTCCGTCTTTAGATTACAACATGTTATTAATATGTGTTCATCACAAATGATATCAAGATTATTTACTATCATATAACACTATGAAATCCAATCAAGGATTTCAAAATGAACACCACGTGTAATCAATCTTGTATCCCTTCAATTTAGGAAATACACAAAGTCGATTGTACTAAATTAACTTAACTGCTTTAAGCCATATATTGACTTAAGCAATACATAATATGTGTTGCGATTTTATGTATGAGGGTTGGGTATGTGAACTCCTTCCTGAAAGCTTCACAAATACACCAAATCAAGTGATCATATAAATATATGTAATCACTACATCTATCAACTATCAACTGCAACGATAGATGCTTTTGTACTTTGCCAATCAAAAGATAGTATCGAAATTTATAACTTACTATGGAGAATAATTTGCATTGAAAATCAATGCACGGGCTTTACATAAACCCCTTGTGCTACTCGTCTTTGCTTTGATCTCACCACCACATTGTTCTTAATTCATTATAGGACGAAAACACTTTTGTACCCACGATAAAGGTACCATGAGGTGTTGGCATCACATTAAAGCACCTCTTTTACGGTGACCGAGACTATCTCTTCATGTATTACATCACTCAACAAGTTCCATAAGAGTGAGCAAAGCACTCTGCCATGATCTTATTGACTGGATGACTTGGAATGTTGTATCTGATTTATTTAGAGAAATGCGTAATCGACATATGTAGCCTTTCTATGATATAATTCTCTAGTCCATCAAAACTCAAAATACCCTGAATGACTCATTGTGACTTTCCAAAACAAGAGTCAAGTTCACCTTTGAGCTAGGTTTGTGGATGACATCCATCATCTGGGTAATAACCAAATTTTACCCACAAGGTATCGCCAACCAT